GCCTACCGTCCGTCCCTTCCTCGAATCCACGCAAAGGTGGCCCGTGAAGTATTTGGTTGTTTACGTTGGAGCCAGAGACGCGCCATCATGCGGGTCACCTGGCGTCAAGCCATACGCTCGACTGGCAGCTGGGTCGGCGTCAAAGATGTCTCTTCGCTTCCTTTGAATTATGGGCTATTGCACTGGGGCATCCTATGCTTATGTTAGAACAGCCTAAGTCTCAATGAAGATGTCCTGCCATTATTCAATAATTTCGAGTGGCTAAGCGTAGTAACATGCGTCGACAGCATACGGTCAGTGACTTTAATGGGACGACATGGTCCTGTCGTTGCATTTCTCACACCTTCCCAGATTATGAACCCATGCATTCCCTGTTCTGTGGTTTGTGTGCCCATAGTTCATGCCTAGAAATATCCCCAGCCTACCCGGGGATGCCGTGCTGTCCCGGTCCCGGTCCATGACCTGTGACGCCCCCTCTGTACTCCTGGCCGGCTCCGCCGTCTGCGTTGTGACGGTCCTGACATCTGTGCCACCTATTCCCTGCCACACGCCGTTCCTGTCCCACCCCATCCCTTGTCCCACCCATCCTGTCCCATTACGTCCCCTGTCTCACACCTTCAGTAATCTCACACCACCCCTGTACCACCCGTTCTTGTCTAGCCGTCCCTTATCCCGTCCCGTCCACCGTCTCACCTGTCCTTGTCCCATACCATCCACCGTTTCACCACGTACCGTGTGCCACCTCATCCCCACTCCATCCCTTCCCATATCCCGTTCCCTGTCCCACACCGCTCCATGCCTGTCTCACACTGTCCCCTGTCCCGCCCCATTCTCGATTAAATCAATTCACTGTCCATTCCTTCCTTGTTCTATAAACTTCTTGTCTACGTACTTCTAATTTCTACACCCTTTTCCATGTCTCACCTCCATCCCCACTATTTTTCCCTCGACAAGTATGGCCTGTGCCGGTGGGAGCGGTCACGCTAAAAGGTCAGTTGACGTCAAAGCAGGCGAACGTGCCGAGCATTGCGGCACGTTAAACTTTCGCCACGAAATTCTGCCGTGCCTGGAATTGCACGATCGGATGGTGTCGTCAGGGCTCTTACAACAATCGCTGCTTAGCGTGAGCTCTGATCCCAGAAATTCCATCCATTCAAAGTGGTCGGACTCAATCTTTAAAAAATCCTCCGACCACCTCTTGTCCTTAGTCCCATTTCGTTCTTTATCCCACACCGTCACTAATCTCAACTCTCACTGCCCACCTGCCCACCTTTCCACCCTTCCCCTGCCCCACATGTCCCCTGTCTCATCCCGTCCACCGTCCCGTCTCATGTCACACCATCCCCTGTCCCACCCTTCCTTTTCCACCTCGTCCCCTGTCCAAGCCCTTTTCTTTCCCGCCTCACCCCTGTCCCACCCGTGCCGAGCCTGACGCGTCGTCATTACGTTTCACCACCGTGTCCGGGCAGATGCTGCAGAGCCAAGCTGGAGGCGGACCGCGTTCGCTGTCGCCAAATGGAGGAGGAGAACGAGGAGCTGAAGGAGGAGATCCAGCGGCTGGAGACGGCGCTCAATAACCTGCCCGTGGGCGACGGTTGTGCCACGCGCGACACGGCCGCTCAGATCACCCAGCTACTGCAGACGCTAAACGATTACATGGTCAAGGCGCCCGAGCTCTGCAACCGACTCCGCATGGCTGCGCAGCAGGTGGGGGTCGGGCCGGGCGGGGAGGGGGGGGGGGAGGGGACTGCCGGCGACGTTGGCCACTGAGGGGTGCGACGGGACTGGCTAAGAGACTGATAGTGGTGACTGGATACAGGAAAAGAAGGCATTTCATCCCCAGGCCAGACCTGCGACAGACTCCGGTAGAATGGAGGTCAGACCTGCGACAGTGGTCCGGCAGACCCGTGATCAGACTTATGACAGTCCTCCGGAAGACTCGTGGTCAGACTTCACGCAGAGATCATGTAGGCCAGTTGGCAAGCCTATGACAGCTGTACGGCATGCCGATGGTCAGGCCCGAGTCAGGTACGCTGCAGACCGAAGCGGCTGGCTGCCGATGTCACGGGAATCGCCGCCGGCCGGCCGGGTCTGTCGCCTGCCCCGTCGGCTAATTTTACGGCTGATTGGCGGGCAGCCAGCATGGTCAGCCCAACCTCTCTGGCACGGCAACAGGGCCACTGAGCACCGCTCGGACCGTCCCTGCATCCCCTATGGCCACCGACAAGGCCACTGAGCCACACTCGGTTCCTTTCACCCCCACTGGCCGCCGACAGTGCCCACGGGCGAGGTGTGTACGTTTTCCTGTAAGAGACTTTAGAACTATGGTGGCTTGCTCACGTTCGGGGCACGGCTCACGCTCACCGTCTCGACCTTCACTGCTCTGGTAGCCGCTCGATACCTCGGCACCAATTGGCCTGCTCAGCTGCAATGTGTGTGTGGATTTTCTGATGTATGTAATACCGTACATATGAGTGTGTGCTATGTGTGGAACGCGTGCATTCAACTGTCTCCTGTTTCGTACAACGCAGCAACGAGGCACTTTGATGAACACGATCGTATCATCCCAACTACTTTTGCTAACAAACGCGAGGTACTTGTAGAAACACCGGGTACCGCTGACATGTGGTCAGCGTGTCGTACCAACGACCTAATGTATTTTTTCCACTCTTATTTTCGAGTACATTGTTGGGCAGTAATCAATAGATGAATCCTAGGTCTATGGGTATTCAAGCCAGTGCTTTCAATAGAATACTTGTCCTAATACTATGCACATGATCGCTAAGTTAGACACGAGCAGTGGTTCTGGCACACGGCCACCGACCTCACATGGTCCGGTCCGCCGCGGCCGGGGCGCCCAAAGGGGAGGACCTTTATCACTCAGGAAGTGCAGCTCATGTTACACAGCTTCGAGTGACGACGCGCTCAGCTGCGAATCGCAATATGAAGCTATGGGAAATATGCTCAGCATCAGGGCAGGCTGTCCTCGCCCTCGCCCGTGAACGCGGCACAGGGTGCTCCATGAAGTCGATGTTAGTATAACATCAATAAATCGCTAAAACGATCGCTAAAGATTGCGCCCTCATTGGCATGCCTTATATTTCCAGACAGGCTGACAAATACGTTGGTATGCTCAGCGACATTTTCACTTGGACAGGTATATAAAGCTCAAGCACTATTAACTCGATTGCTTCAAGGGAATGTTTTACATATGAAAATATTAAGGCAAGTATCAGGTATCATGAAACAAGCTCACTCATAAGGAAAAGAATGCTGTGGACAGCACAATTTTCTGTTTATTAAACATGATCCTCAATGCGTCATGGTTTGATTACGTCACCTTGTACAATATGGATTGAAAACCAATCGATGGGCGTTGTATTTGGAAGTCTTGCTCACAAACGCCAGATAGTAACGCCTCGACAATTTTTTTTCCTCGATCACCACATGGCTTATGGAATGTCAGGATTTGAACGAGTTTATTGTCACATCAGGAATGCCAAGGTGATTTTGAAGTACTCTCCGATATACCTTTCCCGGCTTAGCACGTGTGGAGCTCAGCAACTAGAGGGGCTTATGTCTTAAGAAGGGCAGGGTTGTGAACGGCACTGAAAGGTCTGCAAGATGGCTATTTCAGTTCAAAACCCCCTTATAAATGTGAAACACTCCCTTTCACGAAGAAATGACGCCCGCTTTTGATTATTCTTTTCCAGTACGTCAGATCGATGCATTCTTTCGCACTTTTCTGATTACGTTTCTCTTAAAACAGCTGCACACCACAATAAGCTGATCCGAAAGGGAATGTTTGCAGTCCATGGGAGATATCTCAAAGGTCACGTTTCTGTCTGCTGGATATCACTTTCCGACCATACATGTCCGTGATCTGACGTGTAGCTGACCGTGCAAATGTAGGTTTAATAACTATACAGACTCAGCGATTCTCAAGTCTGCGAATCATAAATCCGATATGTTACCAGCATGACGGTACCAGCGGACAAGAGGCGTCTTCTCAGACGCTGTGCCGTCCGCCGGACGACAACGGAGGCGAGGGGAGGGGAGGCAGCGCCTGACGCCGACCATGCACCGGCAGATCATGGACGGCGAGAAGCGCTTGACGAACGAGCGCAGCACGCGTGCTATGGACCAGGCCGAGGTGCAGTACCTGCGCACCGAGAACCAGCGGCTGCGAGAGCTGGCCTTCCGCGCCAACATGTCCGCCTTCCAGGCCAGCGTGCAGCTGCCGCAGAACCAGATGGGTTTCCAGCAGCAAATGATGACTCCCGGCGCGCCGTTCGGTCCGGGCGGCGCCTGTGTCGACCCGTATGCCCAGCAGCAAGGCGGCCCACAGGTGCGACGCAAGAGCATGTTCCAGCGTGTGTTCGGCAAGAACACGGCCGAGGACATGGGGCCGGGCACGCTGCAGTACCAGGACGGCAGCCGCGTGCAATTCGACCCGATGATGAGCATGCAGCAGCAGCGGCTGTCGCTGGCCATGCAAGAAGACCCGGATGAGGCGGCGCGTCGCCTGCAGCTCCTTAACCAGGAGAAGACTGGCAAGGGCTGCTGCCGGCGCTAGCAGACAGTGGCGTGATGACCGCGGAGACGATGCAGGCCAGGACCGGTCAGAGCTGAGAACAGGTCACCCGGTGATCCAAGACCGCTGAGAACTTTTGGAAGGTGAAGAGATGAGCATGTGTGCTGCTTGCTTCTTTCGTGGCACTGTTATGAAAAGCATGCTCATTTTCCAACGGCAGTAGTTTATTAGTGTCGTGGGTGCTATTTGATTTATCTCGCTGTACAGTCATTGCGCATGGATGTTGTCTGTTTATGCCATACCCGTCAGGGGTTATTTCAATGGCATACACCTCATCATTCCGGTTTTCATGCGTGCCATATATTTGGCACTCAATTCTTAATTGCATGATGAGTGAATCAGCAAAGTAAGCAGCAGATAAGGTTCAAAATCCAGTGGCGCAAGCATTACCTCCATGACCCTGGTGAAACCTGATCTCCATTCCAGGCCGATCGGGAAGTTTTGACTGTGGCCTTGTACCCAAATAGTTCGAAGACCACTTGTCAACAGTTTGTACAAACCTGACACCGGCGAACCATCTCCCCCGACGAGTGATATCCTCTGCTAGTATTAAATGTTTTTTATACATGTATTTCGGTTGCATGCACATTTGACCCATGTGTGAATATTTTTCGGGGGACAATAAAATAAACAACATTCACGGCGAAGTTGTTCAACCAACGGAACATCACGCAATGCATCCTGACCGTCCATATTTTCTCCCGAATCGCTCCACGGAGTCGGCGAAGCCCTGCACTTCCATCGTGCTAGCCAGTAACACGAGCCGAAGCGTTCCCACGACGCCCACGACAACGGGTGCAACGATAGCTCTGGCGGCGTGGAGCACTCCCACCTCCTGGAGCAGCTGCCATGGTGCGGGCTGATGGCCACGGGCTCCGAGGCAGGCTGAGAAACTGTCACGGGGTGTCGCAGCCGGTGGAGCGCCATTTCCGGCCACGTGCGGCGTGGGGCACTCCCACCTCCTGGAGCAGCTGCCATGGTGCGGGCTGATGGCCACGGGCTCCGAGGCAGACTGAGAAACTGTCACGGGGTGTCGTAGCCCGTGGAGCGCCATTTCCGGCCACGTGCGGCGTGATTCAGAGACGTCGGTCGGGACCGATGTGCCTTTATGTTCACTAAGGACCTGTTTTTATTTATTAATCATGGCCAGTCACCATCTATGCTTGTCACCAATGTGTACACTGGTCAGGTTCAATTTTTCAACGCGAATACTCAGGTGACCTTCGTGTTAGCGTGGGACAACGCCAAGCAGTGCACTGGGCTGGTTCAAATAAACAAAAAAATATCTCGCTAACTATCGATGGTCAGGTTACTGCAAACTCGGGTGTTAACACACGCACACACACACATACACACACACACACCACACACGCACACACACACACACGCACACACACACACACACACACACACACACACACACACACATACACACACACACACACACACACACACACACACACACACACACACACACACACACACACACACACCAAATTTAATGCATTTTACAAACAAGGACTCATGGCAGAGTACTTACTGGTACATTATGTTCGCATTTTCAGACAGGGAACTTGGTTGATGAACTTGTGGGCGATGTCAGTAATGGCACCAAAATTAACTTCTAATTGCCTAGACCTAGATAATCGTACGCTAAAGGTTACCAGCGATGAACCCAAAACATGCTATGGAGCGGGCTAAGGCTAAGAAAACTATTTAACAGGCTAAGCAAGCTAACTAAATAGACAAACAACGGTAGCCTGCCAGTGTACAATAATCTCCTCATCACTGAAGATGCATTTCAGCAGCGCAGGTGAGACTGGAAGTAATCGATAAGTTAGAGCCAGAACATTAGCTGACCACGGGCTACAGCAAGACAAAAACAGCGGGCCGGAGCACAACACTAACCATGGAACGTGAAACTGCATTATAGAAAAGAAAGGTAGTCTTCGGCCGAAAAACATTGGGTTTTAATGTAACAAGGTAGTGGGTAACGCCAACCAAAAAGCTGCAGTTGCTGTAAAACGAAGCTTATAGCAGATTACACACGTTGAGAACGACATGTCCTTGGGAGGCTAATGAAGTTTGCTCGTGGATTATGTTCATAGCTGGCCATACATAAACGACCGGTGGCCAGTTTCGCCAAACGGAAATTCGTGGATTTTTGGCGTAATTCCAACATTTTTTGGCATACAGCGGCGTGTGTGGGGCAACGTATGATTAACAACGCAATTATATAAACAATAAACCAACTGCATTTACACGAATTTAACAACCGTTGCGCTGGAGGGAACAGAGCACGGAATTGAGACACCATCAAACTTGTTATAGGTGGCGCTGCGGTATGCGACACGCTTTCCTGCGACGCCCAACGGCGGCACCAACCACACCGCCCGGTATCCACCTTTTATCTCTTAGTTCCATCTTTCATCTATTGGCGCACCAGGAATGTCAGATCTATCGAGAGCGTTAAAGGTCTATTGCGCATGGCCAGCAGTACTGATACCGCCGTTGACCAAAGCCAGCATGGTCAAGATCAAGGGTGGATGTCCAGCTACGAGATGGGAAGGGATGAGGTATGATCGGCTGAAGCTGTGCTAACTGCATGAATGGGGCGGAGAGAGGAGGAATGCAGATGAGACCCGGCCTGAACTCGGGACACATTGCATGGTTGAAGTCAGTGGTGGAAATCATCTCTGGACTAGGTGGAGGAGTCCCATGGCTAAGAGCAGGCCTATGTTACGACTGATGGAAGGCCATTGTCGTGATCAGGAGGAAGCCCCATTAATATGGGTGGCAGTAATGTAGACGTTTTCGATGATGGGTAACTAATTACATGAGCGCTGCCAGCTTGCAAAATCATTGGAACTTACAAAGGTCTAATCGTGTTTTCACATTGATTTCTAGAAGGGCTCGTTCAGATTTTCTTCACAGAAATAACATAACTTTGCGTGCAAGGAAGCATAATCAAAGTTGTCTCGTGTTACGTTAGCTACGTTAGTTATAGTACGTTATAATGTATTATGTAGTCACGTGTGCCAGCTACGTGGTGCGTATTAGTTATGCTACGATAGTTATAGTATGTTATAATGTATTATGTAGTCGCGTGTGCCAGCTACGTTGTGCGTATTAGTTATGTTACGAAGTTACAACTCCATGGTCATCGGTGTTTCTAGGAAAGTTCCCTGTACTTAAATAAGTACTGCATTATCTGATACCTACAGTTGAAATCAAAACGGCAATGTAATGGGCAGCCTTTTTAGCCACGTAATCTACTCTTTAAGGTGAAGGCCACAACATGGTACAACTGTCTCCCCCTTGCCTTCCTCTTCAAAAGGCTGTGGCGTCGTCCATGCAGCAGAAGCGAGCGTTAACTGATAAAGCCGTGCACAATGAATCACGAACCAGAGGCGGCGCGGTCAGCTGCTATGACGCACGCACACATTTGTCACATATGAGCAGGGTCACCACAGCTAGCGACGCTGGGGTACGGACCGCGGAACATTTTGAGCGCATTCAACCGTTTTTGTGTTTTGACGATATGCAGTCATACCAGACAGGAAAGGACTCAGCGACTTGTAAGGGGTAGATAAGCCCACGCATGCATGTTACGATATTTTGCGAGTTCTTATATTTCGTTGCTGGGTGCCTAGCTCAAATCGTTTCAGCCCATATTTGTTGGCATAGAATCGCCCATTTCAACGACGCATGACCACTCAAGGCGTCGTTTGTGGCCTCTCATGACTGACAGCAGTCCCATTTAAGCTTTTATCCTACGCTGATGATTTGATCGTCTGAGACGAACGGTATAGAAACATGTTAACCACGCTGATTTTGTAGTCCGTTGGTATTTGGGGATGGTGATGGGGCTTATATATTCGACTGTGTCAGTGAAGGACTAAGTTAAAATGTGTAGTGTCTCTTGAAATGTATAAGGCCTCTGCCATTTGATTTTGATTTGATTCGGTATTAATGGCATTCTTACATCGCACACTTGGCAACCAATTTCTAGCGAGTTTTCTGAGTTCGATCACCATCGCCATTAACTGATGCAACATCTTTAATGCGGCCGGCCATCCACAGGAAATAATTGATTTACGGGTATTCACAGACGTGTTTCCGAGGTTTGACATGTCCGTGAGTTGCTCTGGTGCTATACTGTCGCCGTCTCCGGGCAATATTTGAATGAGAGCAGGTCTGACCTTGCGCATAGCAAAGGAGTGCTGATGCTGCTGGGGGAGGGCACCAGGGCGCCGAGAGCGCCTCTGGTGCTCTCCTTTGGCCTAGTGCGTGCTGTTTGCTGCCAGCTGGTCTGCCTCTGATGCTCTCCTTTTGCCTAGTGCGCGCTGTTTGTTGCGAGCTGGTCTGCCTCTGATGCTCTCCTTCGGCCTAGCGTGCACTGTTTGTTGCGAACTGGTCTGTCTCTGGTGCTCTCCTTTAGCCTAGCGTGCGCTGTTTGTTGCGAGCTGGTCTACAGCTGGTTGAAGTCTGGCGGCGCCATTGCCGACTGCCCAAACTTAGGAAATTCTCTGGAAGTTCGTTTCCTGCAGAGCGTGCGTTGGGGTTCCTCAGCTTTCAAGAGGCCGTGCAGACTGTGTTTCTGGATGAATGCAGCTAGTACTCATTGTACTCATCCTGCTAACGTGGTTTCTTTCTTTTTCCTTTGCTGCTCTTCGTTAAAGGGATCGGCGCACGCCTTCAGAGCTGTTGTGATGCTCTTCGCTTTCTGATGTCGATCCAACAAATCTTGCTCGTGATGTGAGCATATCGCCTTTATCATACTTTCCCTTACACACTGTCTTTGCACCAGGACACAGCGTGAATGGTCCTCAACAGGCATTACTGCACGTTTTCGAGTTAATCATCTTTGATGGCATGACTGAGGTCGCTAGAAGCACTTCATTACAACCACTCCTTCGTAGCTCCGTGGTTCCTTGGGAATTCTCAGACACGCCAGCGCTGCTCAGCCAAGTGGCAAGTCAAAATGGCGCGCATAGCCAAGGTATCCCTCCGTTATCTTTGTTACGCACACTCAGCCCGAAGAGCCGCATGTAGTGAAAGTAATTGGCTTGATTATGGCACCCAAGCGTTATTTGCCTCACTTCCACCAAGGAGCGGTCAGCAACTGCCCCTCCCCTTCCCCTGCGCGCCGCCTGTGACCGCGCCAGACACCCGACGCCAAGCGGGAGGCGTCGTTAGGGAGACGGCGCCTGACCGCTGCGCGCGGAAGGACCGAATCGGTCCTCACTGGATGAATCGGTATGGAAATACCCTACGTTTTCCATGCCTTTGAAAGAATAAGGCGTGGAAGATCCAAAATCGTGCTCATTTTAAAATGTTAACGGTCACATTTTTCACTCATCGATTTCCAAGTTATTATCTTTTTATTTAGATATATGCGTATATTTAAATGTATATATTAATATATATATATATATATATATATATATATATATATATTCTTTGTTTGCATGCCGGTGAACTAAGTATAGTTGTGCGTAAGATTTATCACCGCGTCATTGAAAACGCAAGGTCCATAAAAAGCACCTTTCCAAAACATGAAACGTTCAAAAAGGTTTAGAACTCAAATATGGAACTTTTGATTGTTTTTTTTTTTCTCTCAGAATCATGCTCATAGCT